AAAAGAAAAAAAAAAAAAAAAAAAAAAAAAAAAAAAAAAAAAAAAACATTGTGGGGCTTTGGGAACTTGGACAGGATTCCAGAGTGGGAATCACCATCCTAGGGCAGGGTATATATAAGCTGAAGAGCTAAGCAAGGGGTGGTCTCAGGGGCAAAGGGCTGAAGAGGAAGGGCAGATAAAGTCCAGGGTAGGAGCAGGTAAGAAAAGAGAGTTGCTATACCAGTCTGACCACCCAGGCAGATTGGCTGTCCCCAGATGGCCATCTGTAGAAAACAAGCATGCTTATCATAAGTCATGCACTGTCTGTATTGGAAATGCTGCCTGGGATGTAAGGTCAATCTTGGATAAAGTTTTGCATCACATATCATTTTTGACAAATCCTGCTGCTAGAACCTAACTGAAGTAGGTTGAATTATTTATAGACCAGGGTTCTTTGCCAAAAATAACCAGTATTGAAGCTGTTGGGATGACTAAAGCTGCCTTGCTAACAAACTTACATTTTGGCTATGCTCTTTTTTTTCCAAATATGTAAGTAGTAGTATTAAGTTGAGCTACTGCCATTGACACTTTTAGATTGCCTGTGAGCACAAAAAGTAAGCCAGCTTCTGTTAAAATATCTTTCTTCTACATCTTCCTTTTCTTTCATTGTGCAATTAATTCCATGGCATAAAGAAGATAAGAAAATGTAATAATGGCTATGTCTACTATTTCAAAAATGAAAAGGAAGAATTCTACTCCTGGTATTAAACAATATTTTCATGTATCAGGAATGGGACTTTGTGGCTACAAAACACTTAGGGGAATGTTAAGGGTGGTGGTGGTAGTGGTAGTATCAGTAAGCACTTAAAAATAATCAAAATTGACGCTTGCTGATTCGAAAATAAATCGGCTTGGAAGACAAGAATAAAGAGCCTATGGCTGTCCTTGAACAAAATACATGATTAAACGAAGGGAGTAGAAACTGTGGCCAGGTTTCCCTCCAAACTTAGCTAAGGCCTTGTCCATCCATTTTAAATGTTTCAACACTGTAGAGAGGATGGAGGCTCAGTAAATTTCCATCACATTTATAATCCAGGTGGATTTCAAAGATAGGTACAAACTGTGTTTAGGGATTAATTCACTGACCATAAAAGGGCAGTCACTGAGGCAGTGTTTATTGCATAGTCCCACAAACAGTGGGGACAGTTTACATGCACAGTGCCAAGGTTAGAAGGAGGTATAAAAACTGTCAGGCAAAACAACCAAGAAGTTTTTCAGAGAGAAGATGAAATTATATTAAAATATTCACTCTTTCTTGAAATGTAATTTGATATACACCTGTTAACCACTAGTTTAATTCACTTCTGTGTTCACAGATTAAAAGAGTGATGTGTGCCCTACAATTTTGCCAATACCAGCCTGCTCCTTCACTATAAATTACTGCTTTTCCTTGTCATATTCAGGGTTGAGCCCCATCTCCCACTTCTATTGCAAAACTTTGTTGCAGTAGTTCCTACACCAATCAAGATGTTCCTGAATAAAGTTTGCTTTACTATTCTTTAACAAATATCATTTTTTCTTTAACAATAAATCTCACAAACATGATGTTGTACAAAAAAATGCCACATTAGAGAAGAATAAATACAGTATAGTGCCATTTATACAAAGTTTAAAACATACAAAATAATGCCATATATTACTTTGTGAATGATAAATACCAAACTCAAATTCAGGACAGAGATGACTTCTGGTTTATCAAAAGTAGCAGGGCGGAGAACACAGGGGTCTGACCCTTCTAGTAATGATTTACCAATATGGGTGGTGGATGCAAAGATGTTTATTATATTTTTCTTTAAACTTTTGTAGGCCTGAAATATTTTGTAAAAAAATCAAAATTCACATAGAAATATAAACACACTTTTCCCTTCCCTAAACAGGAAGTGCTATGAAAGAGTATGACAAGGACATCTAATTTAGATTTGGACAAGGCCTTATAAGGAAGTGACATTTAAACTAAGACCTGGAGGATAAGAAGACACTGGTAGTTTGCCGGGAGGGGTACAGCAGAAAGTTGGAAAGAAACTTTGAGAATTCAAGTTGTGAAAGAAAGCCAAAGAGATATGTAATGGACAAATCATGCTAGATCTTTTATAGGCCACGCTGAAATTTCTAAACTTTATCTTAAGAACATCATGACTTGAATAATGTTTTAAAAATATTACCTTCTGACCAAAAAAATTTTGAAAATGAAGAACAAAGTGGGAGAATTTGTACCATTTGATTTCAAGACTTACTGTAAATCATAAGCTATAAAGTAATCAAGAGTGTGGTATTAGTAAAGAAAGAGACACACAGATCAATGGAACACAATAGAGAATCCAAAAATACACCCACTCATATGCAGGCAGTTGATTTTCAGTACAGATCCAAAAGCAATTCAACAGAGAAAGGACAATCTTTTCAGCAAATGGTGCTAACAAGTGAATATCTCCATGGGGTGGGAAAGAAGAGCCTCAATCCATACCTTGTACCAGGTAAAAAGATAACTCAAAATAGATCATAAATCTAAATGTAAAATCTAAAACTATAAAACTTCTGGAAGAAAACAGAGGAGATTTGCACTATTTTAATCAAAATAGGAGAAAATGTTTGCAAAGTATATATCTGACACTGGACTTGTATTTAAAAATATATAAAGAACACTCAAAACTCATTAATAAGAAAACAAGTAATCCAACTAAAAAATGGGCAAAAGGTCTTAAAAGACATTTCAGTAAAGAAAATATACACGAAAAAATGCTCAATATCATCAGGCATTAGGGAAAATGCAAGTTAAAATCATAATGAGATATCAGGATACACCTGTTAGAATGGTGAAAAACTGACAACACCAAGTACTGGCAAGGATGCAACTGGAACTCTAACTCATTGCTGATAGGAATGCAAAATGGTATTGCCACTTTGGAAAACAGTTTGGCATTTTTATCATATGATGCAAAAATACCATTCCTAGGTATTTACCCAAGTGAAGCAAAAACTTATGTTCACTTAAAAACCTGTGCACAAATGTTCATAGTGGCCTTATTCATTATTGTCCAAAACTGAAAACAATCCATATATCTATCAACTGTGAATGGACAAACTGTGGTACATCCATACAACAGACTACCAATAGACAATAAAAGGAACAATCTGTTGGTACACACAATATAAATGATTTTCAAATACATTATATTTAGTGAAAGAAGCCAGATTCAAAAGACTATATACAATACGATTCCATTTATATAATATTCTGGTAAAGGAAAAGCTATAAGGACAGAAAGTAGATCAGTGGTGGGTTGTGGATGGGTGAAGGGGTTGACCACAAAGTGACATGGGGGAGGTTTTTGGGTGATGAAACTTTTCTTATCAATTGCAGTGGTGGTTACACAGCTGTTTGTGTTTGTCAAACTCACAGAACTATACACTAAAAAGGGTGAATTTTACTGAATATAAACTGGACCTTACTAAAAACAAATGTATACTTTAAAAATATCACTTTGTCTGATGTGTGGAGGATAGATAGGAGGGGAAAAAAGTGGAAGGGGTAATACTGTCAGGAGACTATGGCGATATTCCAATGCAAGATGGTGGTGCTTCGGATGGGATGTTGGCAACAGAACTGGAGACAACTGGGTGGATACAAGATATATTAGTAAGATTACATCAGAAGGAAATGGTGATTGATGATGGATTAGATGTGGAGGATGAGGAAGAAGCGGTATCAAGGTGAGCCCCAGATTCCTGGGTGGATAAAGGCGCACTAAGTTCTGGTACGGACCTTCTTATAATTCCTAGAATGTTCTGCCAAGCCCCTGTATCTTTTACATGGGGCTCCCTTTTCCTGGAACAATTCTTTCATTTGATTAACTCCCACCCATCTTTCAAGAGTCAACACATAATTACCAGTATGCATTGTAAGCATCTCCTTTGTGAAGGATACTCCTAAGTATCACCTTGTGACTATTCCTTCCACAGCACTTATTATACTGTGCTGTAATTGTCGGTTTATTCACCTGCCTCTTCTACCATAAAAAACTTTTTAAGGAAATGGTGATTTATTTCCCACGGGTTTCAGTTCAGAAGGAACTAATTCTAAATATCATATAACCAAATCTTTTCAAATCCTGTAAGAGATTATTATAATACAGTTAGCATTATATTTATGAAGTGCACACTAATATAATGAATGTGATCACAGGATATCATATGCAGTGGACTGAATTGTGTCCCCCCAAAGTTTAATGTGTTTGGAGGCTTGGTCCCTACTGTGACAGTGTTAAGAGGGTGGGAAATGCTATTTTGGTAATTGAAAGGTGGGGCCTTGAAGAGGTGATTAAGTTGATGGTTTAATGGTAGTCACAGGCATTGTCCTGAGGGTTTTAAAAGAAGAGTACATGAGAAGTTCTTTCTCTGCTTTTGCCATCTTGCAATGTGATACCCTGTATCGCCAAGGAAGGCTTTTACCAGATGTGTTCCCTGGAGTTTGGACTTCCCAGCCTCAGAAACTGTAAGCAATAATTTTGTTTTCATATAAATCACCCAGCTGCAGGTATTTTGTTATAAACAACAAAAATGGACTAATACCACTATGATGCAAATAATGATAGTTGATAATAAAAATTTTTCATAATTATCTATTGTGATGCATGCCAGTGTAGCTCAATAAGAATAGCTCTAGACTTGGGATTGAAAGACCTTGGTGCAAATCTGTGCTTTGCTGGTCACTGGTAGGGTGATCTTCGGCCAGTTATTTTACCTCTGTGTCAGAATTTCCTCACATATACATTAAAGAGCATGCTAACAACAGGATGAAGTTTAAAGGATAAGTGAATTTATACAAGGAGAAGTAAGTGATCAGCATAGAACCTGGACATGATATGCAGTAATGAATATAAGCTGACACTGAGAGCACTAAGTGAATCAATCTTCATAATAAGTCTCTGGCCTTCAGTCTCAGGAGTTTAAGACAAACGTCAGGCCCGCTTCTATGCCTAATATCCTGATCATTTTTTAAAGGTTCCTTGAAAGCGTGTTCTAAGTTACTGTATAGATCATAATGTGAATGAAGATGAGTCCTAACAGCAGTGGCTGCAACCACACACTGTGTGAATATGAATGAGAACCTTCTGAATACACACATATCTTTTTAGTTACTTCTAGACCTGTCAGAATGATCCATATTTAAAAGATCCAAGTATAAAATGATAACGATAAATTAAATATCCCCAACCAAAAGTAAGCGACCTCTAGCCACCTTGGTAAATTAGGAACTGGTAAGTTTCTTACCTTTGGGGTAGACATCTTTTAGAGGGACTTCTCCTGGGGGCAAAATCCTGACTACCTGATTAGTATCTAAAAGAGTCACACAATTGCTCTGCTTTGGAGTCCCATTTTTCTTCTTTCCTCCATAGAATGCTGTATCAGTAACACTTGGTTTATGCAAAGATGATGGCCTCTTCCAAGAATAAACTTCACTGGGTGACTGAAAAGAAAAAAAGAAAGGTTAAAGTAGTGAATTATCACATACTACATTCACCACAACTTTAATAATGCAACCCTTAAGCAGATACCAGTGGTAAACTTATGTTTCGCAAGTATAAGAAAATCAAATTATTCCTCAACCTTTTTGAATTTGGTACAGAAGATAGCTGCTTCATCAATTATCATAATTTTCAGACAAGTGTGAAACATACAAGTTAAATTTAAGTCCTTCACCTACCATAAATTTATTTTTGTTAATGGCATTAGGCAGGAATCCATATTCAACCTTTTCTCATACAGACAGCTAATTGTCCAAATACCACTAACCTTTGTCCACTGATCTGCAATAGTATTATAAAATGCAGTTCCAAATGTATGCATTTGTTTCTGGGCACTACATTCTTCTACTGTATATTTTTCTACCCCTAGACCAATATCACATGGTCATACTTTCTCGAGTTTTATAATAAGCCTTGGAATTAAGTAGGGAAAGTACCACAATAGTATTATAAAATGCAGTTCCAAATGTATGCATTTGTTTCTGGGCACTACATTCTTCTGCTGTATATTTTTCTACCCCTAGACCAATATCACATGGTCATACTTTCTCGAGTTTTATAATAAGCCTTGGAATTAAGTAGGGAAAGTACCACTGCTTGGTTCTTCAGGGAAGTCTTGGTTATTGTTTGCTCTTGGGCTTCCCTAAAAATGTATGAGTTGCATTTGCTCTGCCTCCTTGTCAGTACTTGTTATTGTCAGTATTTTTTACTTTAGCCATTCTGATAGGCATGTAGTAGTATCTCATCATGGTTTTTAATTTGCATTTCTCTCATGACTAATGACACTGAATATCTTTTCACGTACTTATTTGTCATCCCTATATCCTCTTTGGTGAAGTGTTTGTTCAAATCTTTTGCCGATTTTTTATTCACATTTACCTTTAATTATATTTCTATTTAAAACTATGAGTTCACACAAGTATATCCAATTCCAATTGAAGAACTACAGGGTTCATTCTAGCTTCCTTCCTTTCAGTATCTGTAATTCCCTTCTCCAACAGTGAGAAACTTATTTTCATTATCCTTAATATACTATTTCATTACCCTTATTTCAGTATCCCTAATGTATTTACTTTCTTGCTCAAGTCCACTGTATGTGACCCATCTCCCAACTCCACTAACCTTACCCTCTGGGAAGATGCCCTGCTCACTTGCTTGGGTCCTGAAAGCCCACACACAGGCATGGACACCCTCCTCACCTTATTTGGGCTGCCCCTTCACTGGGACGCTGTCCTCGTCCTGCTTGGACATGATGCCCATTGCCAGTGGTTACCCCTCCTGCCACCGTGGATGTCCTTCTTACTTGCTCAGGTTCTGACTTCTAATACCTCACACTGGCCTAATATTTGCCTATTTTTTAAATTGGATTTTTTTTTTTACTGTTGAGTTTTTAAATCTTTATATATTCTGGATACAAGTCCTTTGTTGGAAATGTAATTTTCAAATATTTTTTCCAAGCCTGTAGACTGTCTTTTCATTTTCTTAACAGTGTCTTTTATAGAGTTGAAAATTTTAATTTTGATGAAGTAAAATTTATCAATTTTTTCTTTTATGTGTCATGTCTAAGATACACAGGACAATTTTTAATGGAAGTAGTGATAGTGGGTATCTTGTCTTATTCCTGATAATAAAATGAATGCTTTTAATGTATTCACTATTGAGGATGATATTTGTTATAGGTTTTTATAGCTATTTGGTATTAGCTTTAAGAAAGTTATGTAAGTTTATAATAATTTACATGCCTCTCATAACTGTATAAAAAAGTTAACAAGAAGTGACATACCCCTTTGTTGATAGTTTTATGAAGAATACAAAGAAATTCAAATCAAAGCAGAAAGGTGGTGTGGCATAGTAGAAAGGATATGTATTAGAGGGTTAGTCACACTTGAGCTCAAATCCCAGCTCCCTTACTTATAATATTTGTGACCTGGTAGATATAGCCTTTCTCTATTTCTGTTTCTTCATGTGTAAAACCTTGTAGAATTGTAAAAATCAACTATCATATATGAAAGGGCTTAGCATAAAGCAGTACCTGTCTATTGTGTTGGGGCCTAAAAAATATGAACATTATAAAATACTGAAGGGCTCCCCTGGTGACTCCAATCTTTAACAAATATTCATTGAGGACCTCATATGTGGTGGATACCATACAAAGTATGGGTGATATAGTTTTTTAATTTAATAAGGTCACTAGTCTTACAGGCTATAAAGAATTTCTATAGGGTTAATACAAACAGTGTCTTATACTCAGCTTTTACTTTCTAACTTTTTTTATAGTAATATTTCTATAGCATTTCTGTACTAATTTCTTCAATCAGAAGAAAGTGATTAGAAGATATATTTTAAAAATAGTTCTACCTCTAGAAAAAAGCTCCAATATTTTTCTACTCATAACAGCAAGCTCTGTAGAAAGCATATTAAACACATCTCTTTCATTCTTTCAAGGCTGGTGTAGACACAAAATGTTTCCTTTTGTGTTATATAATATGACAGCAAATGCTTTCTACTTGATAATTAGGAAGACATATGGCAAAGTCCTAAGCCACATATTATCCACTAGGTTTTGGATTTCAAGTGTCTTTTATCCTGAAGTACTCATCATTACATTTAATTACATTAAATTTTGAAGCATGTGAAATTGATGTACTATAAAAGCAGAGCCCATATTTTTATCTTTAAATGATTCTATCATCCTAACAGCTACAAAGGAAATTACAAAAAATTAAGTGTTTAGTCAAAACACATGAAAATACATCTAAGTACATGAAAGCAGAAAGGTTCGTCTAAGGTTATTACATGACAACTTGGACTGAAATAACCTTTATATTTCATTTCCCCACATTCCCATCAGGGGGAGATGGTGCTCACTTTCACCTGAAGCAAATTACAAATAATGTCACCTTTACAGATAACAGTAAATAACAGCAGATAACAGCAGAAGGGCCCATCTAAGAGAAAAATGAGTTGAGACCATTACCCATTATAGTATAACCTAGATGTTGCAAAGATATGATAAAGCAGAGCAAAACTCAATGGAAAGTGAATTGATCCTCAAAAGTGTTGAAAAGGGCCAAGCCCGTGGCGCACTTGGGAGAGTGTGGCGCTGGGAGCGCAGCAGCGCTCCTGCCACGGGTTCGGATCCTATATAGGGATGGCTGGTACACTCACAGCGCTCACTGGCTGAGCGCGGTGCGGCCCGTCTCAAAAAGGACAAAAAAAAAAAAAAAAAAAAGTGTTGAAAAATTTAACCTACAGTAGGGATAACCCAACAAATATAACTTTAAAAAATTCTAGGGCCGACCCTGTGGCGCACTTGGGAGGGTGCAGCGCTGGGAACGCAGTAGTGCTCCCGCCGCAGGTTCGGATCCTATATAGGGATGGCCGGTGGGCTCACTGGCTGAGTGCGGTGTGGCCGGTAACAACAACAACAACAAAATTCTAGAAGACATGCTACTTTATTAATCTTAGATTGTTCCTTTGGCAGTTTCCATGAGCACGCATTAAGACAACATGATCAAAAACCACCATCAGTAGGTTAAGCATTTAATTGTGTCATGAATACACAATTAAATACTCATTTCCCCTTACAAAATTATATCATTGAATTACGCTTTAAATGTAAAATTTTTAAAAAGTAATGAAACTATATAGATAGAATATAGTTTTTTTGGGGTTTTTTTTTTGTCTTTTTTCATGTCCGGCAACGGATCGCAACCCTCAGTGTCGCGCCCGTACCAGACCGGGACCGGCAACGGGATCAAAACCCTCGGTGCTGCACCCACACCTCGCTCAACCAGTGAGCGGGAACCGGTCTGTATGTGGGATCCGAACCCTTGGCGGGAGCGCCGCCGCACTCCCAAGCGGCGCACCGTAGCAGTGCGCCACTGGGCCGGCCCCTAGAATATAGTTTTTAATGACTGCTTTGGAATGCAGACTTAATCTGAAATGTTTACCAGAAAATGATTAAGTTTTTAAATACCACTCAAATAGGCTTATCGATTTTATAGGTCAAATTGAGGGGAAGAAATGTGTATTCAATAATTTAAAAAATTGTTGCTTACCATGAGATCTGGGAAACCAACAACTATTGTAGCATAACTGTTCTTATCTGAGAAAACTCGGTTGGGAGAGGCAATCTTTTGTCCCACAGCTGAACTTAGATTTTCAGATGATAACTGATCACTTGAAATTTTGTGAGGTATGCTGAATTCTGTTTCTGAAAAGTGTCAGACAAACATTAGACACCATATGCCCCTAAAATACTCCAGGAATTAATTTTTTGCAAGATTTCATTTTTAACAATTCAAACAGAAAAAAAAAAGGTAAGAAAGAAAAACCACTTTCAATTGCATTCATAGGCTTTTGTCTGAGAAAGCTGTTTATACAATTAAGGCATCTTTCCGAAGTGATTCCAAACATTTATGGAATTCAAAATTTTATTAGCAATCAATAACATCATTAATAGCTTTCTGCAGAAAAGATGTGAAACTGACCCAATCCACTGAAACTGCCAACCTACCATTGGCAATGGTATGTTTTAGATTTTTTTTTTTTTTAAAGATGACCGGTAAGGGGATCTTAACCCTTGACTTGGTGTTGTCAGCACCACGTTCACCCAGTGAGCAAACCGGCCGTCCCTATATGGGATCCGAACCCGTGGCCTTGGTGTTATCAGCACCGCACTCTCCCGAGTGAGCCACAGGCCGGCCCCATCACTGCTCTTTTAAAAGACCAATTAAAATAGCCATTCTTTTCAATGTCTGATAAGATCCTTTCTAGCCTACAGTCTATTATTTTGTTCCTCTTCTCTTTTTTTTTTTCTTAAAAGATGACCGGTAAGGGGATCTTAACCCTTGACTTGGTGTTGTCAGCACCACGTTCACCCAGTGAGCAAACCGGCCGTCCCTATATGGGATCCGAACCCGTGGCCTTGGTGTTATCAGCACCGCACTCTCCCGAGTGAGCCACAGGCCGGCCCCTAGATTTTTTTTTTGTAAGTACTGTTTGCCCCCTAAAACTGTGATGAATTAAGTAGAAATCCTTATGGTCTATGGAAAAAAATAAAACATGTTATCCTAAATTAGACTTAGAACCTAAATGTATATAAAAATTCTGAATTCTTATTTAAAAAAATTCATGGATAGTGCTTAAAATAGTAAGCTTCCTTATTATGAATGAAAGATGGTAAGGTCTTATTTACTATTTCTACTGCAGTGACTAAATTTTTCTTTTAGTATAAATTTAACACAGGCTAATGTTATTGTCCTTAAATGATTCCAGAGGGCAGTATGTATACAAGTATGTACCCATACAGCCATAAACACAGAGAACATAGTATTTACCTTGTGTAACTCCAAACCCTGAGCTAGGCAGCTCCTCTTTCAACACATACAACTGGCAAAACCCACTGTCCTCAGATTCAATGTGTGCAGGCTTAGTTAAAAGATATTTCCTGTAAACAAACAAAACACCTAACTTAAATGAAAAGATTCTCTTTTTTTAATAATGGTTAAGGCTAGACTAAGAAAAATTAGAGTTTTCCCCCATCAAAGCCTCTTTTTTTAGTAGTCTAATTTGCAGTTTCAGAGTTTCATCATGAATTAGTAACCTCTCAACATTGTGTTAAACAGCAGTGCACAATAACAATGCAGTAATAAATGTGAACCCAAAACCCAGCACTTCCTATAAGAGGAAGGCTGTTAAGAAAAAAGCAATTCTAATGGGGCATGCCCTTGTTATCATGGGGCCCTCTCTTGATATGACTCTTCCATCAGCCAGTACATGAGAGTGTGACTCTGGTTTGTGACCAGCTAAGGGACATAAGCCTTCACCACTGTAGTCCCCTTGATCTACTTATTTTTAAGATTTCTAAAATATGAATGTATAAATAGCCATAAATCTTTTGCAGCAGGCCATTTCTGCTTATCAGCAAAGGGGCAGAAAGTATGCACTTAGCTAGTGGATAGAATGCGTGAGGGAGGGAGACTCAAAATTTACTGTACACTCTCTATATGCCAACTGCTACTAATAGTGTACTGATACAGTCCAATGGGGGCAGGCAACACAAACACAAACATAACCACAACCAAATAAGAGCATATAAGATAAAAAGAAGAAGCAACTTCTAAGGTGTGGATTCTGTGAAGTTACAAAAATGCAATAGCTCTAGGATGGGAACTGTGGCTCTTTGAAGAGAGGATGAACTGAAAATTACTTTGAAGTATCTCTAGTTTGGCAAGAAAACAATGAATTCTCAATGTGCTGATAGGAAAAAGTTCAAATAAATATGGATCATATATAAAATTCATTATTTTTTACTGGTAATTTCAATGTAATGCTCTAGGAAGTGACATTTAACTTATTTTAATTTTCTCCTCCCTTTCTCTTTCTCTCGTAACTCTCACATACAGAGATGCCGCCAAACAGAAATTGTTAAAAGACAGACACAAGGAAGACAGAACAGTAAGGATGTTGAATAATTGATAAATAAGGCTGAGCTACAGCACACTACATGAGATACTATATAGAATCACCCACTGGTTTGTTTTGCTCTCCACTAGAAGCCACTTGTCCTCTGCTACAAGAAAAACCATCTTGAGGTTGATGGGAAGTGAGATGGTGTGAGTTCTTCCTTCTAGAACATCCAGCACAGTTAGGCTATTCCTGAAAATAAGAAAAGCAAACTATATTTGAAAGGAAATGGTGAGGATAATGGTTGAGTAACTGTGGCATAATCATTTCATGATATATTGTACAACCCCCAAAAAGAATGTTTTTAAGACTAAGCAGTAACACAGAACAATGTTAATAGAGAGAACAGATATACAAAAAAGTGACAGCTGCCATGTCAGTAGTGGCTGTGTCATGGAATTAAGATTGCCACCTTTTCTTATGTCTGCTTTTCAATGTTCTGCAACATGGGAAGAGTTGCTTTTATAGTAAAACATTTATGATTTTGTTGCATTAGTTTTACAACAAACAAGTACAATTAAAACAGGAAACAGAATGGACAAAATAAGGACCCCAGTTTAAATATTCTAGAATAAAGAGCTCACCCATTTTCTTTGTAGAATACTAGCCAGTTTTTGTGTGAAAATTCCTTACACATTTTATAAGTTTCCTACAGACAAAACAAAACAAAATATGGATATTAAATGTGTCAGATGCAGTCATGTCTCTTTAGCTGCTTCCCCCTAAATGAAGCTCCTCAATGTGTAAAACATGTAATTCTTAGAGAAAATCTCTGTTTATCCACTCCAAGACTTTTATGATTAGGTTACATGGATTAAACTTATATTTCCAGACTTACTGTGAACTACATAATAAAACCTCTTTAGAATAAAATTTTTAAAATAACCCCAAATACTGTTTAGAAATAAACATGCTATCTGATAGTGAACCATGGAATCTGCACCATAACATAAACACACAGGAAATACTTTGTTTTCTAGATTTGGATACATGTATAACATTTAAAAAATCTCTTCTTTCAAGGTCTGTAAAGACATAAGTATGCTGTCCTGCAGGGCAGAGGATAAGCTTTATTTTATGGCCATTACCCTTTTCTGAAGGGCAGAATAAATTCTTTAGGGTTGGCCTAAACTATTTACTGGTTTAAAACAGTTGTTTATCTAGTAGGGGCAATCAGGTATTGTATTCATATTTTTATCACATACATCTAAAACATAACTACATAACTGAAAACCAGGTTAAATTAAATGCATAATTAGGAATTTGTTATGAATATCATCCACAAATAGCCCACAATGTTTTATTATTCTTAATTCAGTCCTGGTAAATCTTTATGTGAGTATGATGAAGACAAATAGAAGCTACGGACATTTAATTATATGTGTATCTATATCTATATTTGTATTATATTAAAATCTAAATGTGCATAATAAGAGAATTCTCTTGTGCATTATAGTAAACAAAAGGCACTGAAAGGGATGGGCAGGCATGCATCTTTCTGATTATAAAGCTATAGGAAAGCCTTGGCAATTTGCTGGAGAAATTTGGTATTCCTTACAGCTTCCTCCTTGTTCCACCAGGAAGATTTCTTAGATGTAACCTCTTCTAAAGGGAGGACGAGACGACGAAGGGCCCGGCCAGCGGTATCTAACAACAAGATGACATTACTCTGCAAATAAAGATGGTAGAAAAAAGTTCAAGATTTGTTCCTTTTTTTTTTTCTTTTAGTAGTAGTTATATGGAAACCTGAGAGTGAAGGTTATAGTGATAAACCAAAGCGAAGACAACAATATTGAAATACTTAAGAGATATCACAAAGACACAAAATGATTTTCCTTATTACAGAATTTAAAGTTTTAGATGGTTTTATTAACATATTTCTAATTATGTAATACAGAAGGTATTCTCTTTGAAGATTTTTATCTCAAAACCATTCCCTTCTAAATATAAGCTAGCCAAACCATGATTCTATTTTGTTACACACAAGGAAATTAAGAGAATTGATAATTTTAAAAAGTTCATTTACTTTTATCAAAATTACACTTAGCGAATGCTCCATTGAAAGCTCTCTTACATCATGAATAATTAAGTCTCATCGATCCTTTTCACGAATTCAGGTACAATTCAGAAAATAGGTACATGATATAAAGATAGGTTAGCAAGAAAATTCGAAGGACCCCACTAACCTAGCTAAGTAATGAATGTTTCTTCATCTTGAAATTCACTAAACTTGAAGAACTTTCATAACTGGTGCTGTAATAACGTACAAATAAGAGATTTCTTCAGCATTATTAATCACAGCTATGCAATGAAGTAACAATCTCTCAGTAGTTAGGAATGTTTTTTCAAGAAAAGAAATAAACTTTAAGCATTAAAATACATGGACAGAAACACATAAATTAAAACCTTAAAATTGAGAAAGCCAGGAAAAATAAAATATTTTAAAGGTATACAAAGAAGCTGGCCTTTTAAATTAAAACATAAAAACGTTTAAAGATTAGACTAGTGGTTTGCAAAAAGGCACCTGCAAGTTGTCAGGCCTCATTGTTATGCAATTGTCTTTTCTTTCTTGTTTTTGTTTGGTTTTAAATTTGGGGCTCCTCCAATTATCCTAACACTTATAAACATTTCATTTCAAGAAGAACTTCCTTTGGGGAAAATAATGTCACAAAGCACCCAAAGAATTAATATATACTTTGCAAAATATAGAAACCAATAAAATGTGAATTTTGTTCATTTATTCCATAATATTTATTGAGCACCTTATATTTTAAAGCACAAAAGAAAATACAATGATGAATTAATCATGGCCCTTGCTGTCTATTATGTAATCCAGTTAGAGAAATTTTTTAAAATGTAAAAGATTAATGATTTATCTACAAACCTAGCACTTCATACCATGGTTTCAAATTTATTTTACAAGCTAATTTTATTGAGGTACTCAAGAATTAAAATGGTATTTGCATCACATAGTTTACTTCACACCATATACTTGCAGTCTTGGGTGTATTAAAAATTTTTACTAAGCATACTGACAAAGCTTTAATTTTTTCCACAAACACCACCCTTAGGATGCATCATTCTGCATAAATTGTAATTCTCCATTAAGACTATATTAGGAATATTCTTTTAAAAATTAACATCTAATGGGCCGGCCCGGTGGCGCACTGGAGAGTGCGCCGCTTGGGAGTGTGGTAGTACAGCGGCGCTCCCGCCGAGGGTTCGGATCCCATGTAGAGACCGGTTCCCGCTCACTGGCTGAGCGCGGTGCGGGCGCAACACCGAGGGTTGCAATCCCGTTGCCGGTCCCCAGTACGGGCGCGACACCGAGGGTTGCGATCCCATTACCGGTCAGTAAAAAAAAAAAAAGACAAAAAGGAAAAAAAAAAATTAACATCTAATACAAGATGGTATCTGAAAGTTTTAAAAACGATAGAGTTTTCTTTAAGAAAACATATAAATAAGTTAAAAATTTACAGTCTTTGTTCTAGATTAAATCTTTTCTGAGTATTTTTTAATAAAGAAAAATCTTTCTTGTATGATAAATATGTACAACATTAACATGCATTCTTAACACTTAAGCAATTTGGGATAATATTATTTTTTCTAAGCAAAAGAAAGTCCTGAAAATAATGTCTTATCCCCCCAAAACGATTAAGTAGAAGAATGAGCAAATGATTAAACTGATATGATTAAGCAGAAAAATAAGTTAGGACAGTTTTCCATTTTTCTTCCTTTTTAGGGCTTAATACTTATATAGTCAAAACTTGACATAAATGAACTGAACAACTCTATCTTTCTAAGTGACAGAGAACATACATATTTCCAGCCATTGCTGTATTTAGAATTAGTTTTATAAGCAATTGGCAACATGAAGGAGTTCTGTTGCTCCATCCTTTTAGATGTTAATGGTTTCCTTCTGTAAATGACTAATGATATATTCTGTCTGAGTTTAAAAATAGAATTTTGCGTCACACATGAGTGCATGTAACTGTGGCTTTGGCGCTCTTTCAAGGGGGGCAGGGAGGAGAACTAAGTGAGCAATTTTATTATGTTTGTATTTGACTGGGAGAAAAGTAACCTCTGGATGACCTCAATGTCCCAAAGTCTGAAATTCTAAACTTTGTACAGATGTAATGAATAATCTCATGGGGTGGGGGAGGGAGAGTCCTTATTTTTAGGCATGGCAAAGTTTCCCTTTCCTCACTTAAGGTTTTATTTTAGCAAGGAATTTTTGAACAACTCCTTAAACTAACCATTGAAATGCATCCGTAGCAAAGCTTTATTTTAAAAAGACTAGGAGTAGGTGAATTCATGGAAGTACTTCTCTATTATATTTTAGCTTCATTTTCAGTTAGGGCAGAATGAGGAAGAAGGAATTGGTGGCAGTCCATCCATTTTTTATTCCACTGCAATTATTTCTCAGTTGTTAAGTTTCACAGCTGTGTGCTGTTCACATGGAATTCAACAGGTTTGACATCCTAACAGGGCCATATTATAAAATAGCTAAGATATCCTCCCTGGGGAAAAAGAAGACAGTGCAGAGGACAAGTAGAGTGGAAATATCCAGATAAGCCATGCATGTCTGCTCAGAGTGCAGGAGCAACTTTCTGGAACACTGTTGAAACTGTGACCATTGAGATAAGTAACACAGCATATAAGAATGCCAGGGGGCAGATTCTGGCTGTGGAAGTCAAGCACAGCTTTACAATGAAAATATATTTTCTTTGACAAAAGTCATCGTAATTGAACAGATTAATCAGCAATGCTGCCAAATAATTGGATCTTTTGAGAAAATACATCACTTTCTGAGAACCTAAAAATCTGGTACTTTTAAAGAATTCATATATGTAGATTTGACAGATAATTTGACAGTTGAAAATTTGGCAGGACTATTTGAATAATACTCCAAATTTAGATTCTCATCCAAATTTGATTGACTTAACTGAATTAGAGATCACCAAGATATCATGTGCTTTTTATGACAGCTTGTTCTGGCTATGGAATTCAATCTAATGGCACTGATATTTTGTTGGAAGTCTATAAAAGCAAAATCCTCACTCCAATTTGCTCGACACAACTTTTACAAGTAGAATCGGAATATTTACAAATATTGCTTCTAGGAGAAAGTGAAAGTAAAGGAAACATAAAAATAAAACCAGAAAGAAACTTATTAACTCAGAATTTATGATAATTATTTAGGCAAGGACTAAGGTTAAAGTTGACTTATTTTCTTGATAACATTTTGCTCTTTAAATATTTACAAACAGGGCCGACCCCGTGGCTCACTCGGGAGAGTGCAGCGCTGGGAGCGCAGTGGTGTTCCCACCTCGGGTTCGGATCCTATATAGGGATGGCCAGTGCGCTCACTGGCTGAGCACTGTGCGGGCGACACCAAGCCAAAGGTTGCAATCCCCTTACTGGTCACACACACACAAAAAAAATTACAAATAAAAGCATTGCATTTCTTTAATATTTTCCTACTATGAATATTTTAAAATTTTTCACACTAATCATTTCCCCAAGATCTGCAGTGTGTGGGAAAGTGGGTGAAGTTTTAATTCTGTTGGGGTCAATCCAATTTGGATTGAATCTCAGTTCTACCATGTACTTGAGGGGCAAGTTACTTAAACTCTCTGAGTCTCATATGTAAATATGGCTAACAGCTACCTCACTGGGCAGTTAAAAGAATAACATGAGATTACGTATGTAATCTCTTATTTGACACATTGTCAGCATTTAAAAATTGATCCTTCTCCTTGAGACATGTAGTACTTGCCTTCCAGAATACTACACTCTTTGGTTTATGCACCTATTTCCCTGGTCACTCATTCTCAATAACTGTCATTGACTTTTCCTCATCTCCCTGATTTCTTAATATTTTATTACTTCAGGTCTTAGTGTTTGGACTTCTCTTCTCCACCCATATTCACTCTATTGGTGACTTCTTTCAGTCTCATGGCTTTAAATAGCATTTATATGCTAATGACTCCCAAATTTATATTTCTGGTTATGACCTCTCCATTGATGTCTCATCATCTACTTAGATGTTTAATAGACATCTCAAATTTAATCAAAAGTCATCTGAGCTTCCCTCCCAAATTGATTCCACATCTCTGTTGATGGCAACTCCATCCAAGTTGCTCAGGCCCTAAATCTTGAAGGCCTTAACTCTATTCTCTCTCACCCCCATATATCTGATTTGTTAGAAAATCCCGTTGATTCTATCTTTGAAATATATCCAGAATCTATCATTACTTATGACCTCCATTCTCCTCCAAATCACCATTACTTACAGCCTGGATCATTCCAAAAATCTCTTAACTAGTCTCCCTCATTCTGCCTTAGCACCTATAGACTATTCACCATAGAGCTGCCAGAGAAATCCTTTAAAATTATGTCAGATCACGCTGCTACTCTGCTCAAAACTCTCTAATGCCTTCCCCTGAACCTTCAATGGCCTACAAGGCTCTACATAATCTGCTTTCCACTGCCCCTTCCACCTCGACCCCACCTCAAACCACTAAGTAACCTGTTTACCTCTCCTCATCTTACTGTCTTCTTCATTCAGTATTTCCTACTGTACATCTTCAAAGATGAAAAGGAATGTTTAAGCTGCTAGGCCTTTGAGTTTACTGTTCCTTTTGCCTGGAACTCTCTTCTTCCAGACATCCATTCCCTCCCCATCTTCATCAAGTCTTTATTTAAGTATACCCTTTCAGTTGGGCAATCCCTGCCTATTTTATTTTAAATTGCAATTGTACTCTCTCTTGCTTCTCACCTGCTAACTTAAGATGTAATTAAATTAATTATTTATTTTGCTTATTGTCTGTCATCCTGAACCAGAATGTAAGCTCTGACGACAGGATTTTTGTTGTTTTTTTCACTGTGGTATCCCCAATGGTAGGCATATGATATGTATCTGTTAAATGAATAATATGCCTAGTATAGTACCTGACAGATACTAGGTGAATAAAAGGTATGCAGAAACATTAAACTGCTTTCTATTGGTATAGTACAGATTAACTTAGACATATAGAATTCTCCTAAGTAAAACACAGCCTGTCTTTTTTTTTCCTTTTTTTTGTCTTTTTTCGTGTCCGGCAACGGATCGCAACCCTCAGTGTCGCGCCCGTACCGGGACCGGCAACAGGATCGCAACCCTCAGTGTCGCACCTGCACCTCGCTCAGCCAGTGAGCGGGAACTGGTCTGTATGTGGGATCCGAACCCTCGGCGGGAGCGCCGCCACGCTCCCAAGCGGTGCACTGTAGCAGTGCGCCACCCGGCTGGCCCATACACAGCCTGTCTTTTGCTTTATATCTTCTGTTTGGAATTATCTTTAGCCTGACTCTGGGCATCTATACTTTTCAATAGTGCAATCTTAGTGCATTAACCCACAGTAGTGATGAATGGACCTTGAGCATCATTAGATACTAAAGGAACTTAGTGTATTCCATTCAGTATATTTACATGGCTGTCTGTACATAAAGAATGTCATTCTGCCTCAGATAAAATGCCATCTCCTACAAGAAGGTATCTCAGTACTCTTTTTAAACAGTTCACCCTCCCAACTCCTCCTACGTATCCATCTCCATCACTCCCTCAAAAATTAGCCTGTTTCTATATAGCACTTATCACTACCTGAAATTGGTAGTGATATGTTTATTTGTTGGTTTACCTGTTTCTTGTCTGTCTCCCCAAAGAGAGTACAAGCTTCACAACAAAGAATTATCTGGCCCCAAATGTCAATAGTGTCGAGGTTGAGAAACCCTGACTCACCTGTTTCCAGACTTACAGGTTGTGTCAAAATCTACACAGAGAAGGAGATATTAGCCTACCTTTGTGGTACCGATAAAATACAACTCCTGACTCATCCTTCCAGCCCTTCTCTTCAATCTTCATGAAAGCACGTATTTTCAGTTATAGGTTGCTAATGACTTTTGCTTTTTCTCTCACATGTTATTCTTTGCATAATTGTAGCACGTGAATAACCTGATATGCATTACCTGCTGCTCGTGGAGAATCACTTGTCCCTTGAGTGGACTTCCCAGTGGTGCCACTGTCACAAATGGGTGCCAAACTCCACTGGCCGTTCTTGGAAAGATGTCAAAAAAGTCCACAAAGTAACCACTTTTCCCATTCATATTCATAAAGTATAAGTAAACAGGATTGCATGTAACTATGTAGAGAGTATTTTCCTCATTTTCTGAAATGACAAAAAGGTGTTAATTTTGTGGATTGCAGCTGATTTTCTGACTAGTCCGGAGGTGGTGAAAACTGAATCATGAGGTTTAGCACACAGTTGGAATTCAGATGATGATGTGTATAGATGGAATGATTAGGCTAAGAACACCATGAGAACTTAGTTCCTACCCTAGATATAAATAGGGCCACATCTATTTATTTGAGGAAATAAGTATCTATTTGTTTCTAGAAAAATGCCATAATATCTCATGATAACACTATTAAATATTTAACAGTCCTCAATGTTAAAACTCAAGAAATTCTTCCTTGTATGACAGCAAAAAGTGCTTTGTGCTCCAGTGAAGGACTGTTTTCTCTTGTTCTCTTGTTGGTTCAGATGAACAACAGTTAATCAACATCTTCTACCTGATAATCTTGCATTTTCTAGATAGTTAATAGATCTTCAGGATTTCTTGATATAAACAAGTAACTCCATTTTAAAAATCTTAGCTCTATGGATCTTATTTTACAAACTTTTGCTCATATTTGAGCATTTATTATAAAATCTCTTTCTTTTCAATCTGAATACCTGCCTAAGTCTATTTCCTGAATTCTGTATCAGTGCTTCTTCAATTTTCAAGTGCCTATGAATCACCTGCGGATCTAATAAAAATGAAGATTCCAATTCAGTAGGTCTGGGGTGGGGCTTGAGTTTCTGTCTTTCCAATAAGCTCTCAGGAAATGCCAATGCTGCGGATTTGAGGTCCTGCCTTTGAATAGCCAGCCTCTGTACTAAGTTTCTTAAAATCTCTTATGTAATTACCTTGAGGCAAGGGAATAAGCTGCTTTGGTACAGTAAATGCTATCAGTATTGCTGTAGAGCTAGGGTTGGGTCTGGAGCTCACAGACCCCTCAAGCCCGTTGTCCAGACTGGGTCACAAACCCTTCACATGTCAGGCTGGGTCACCAGACCCCTCATACACAGGTCTATGAGCTAGGTAACTGGCAAAGAGGTCCTTGGAAGCCATAGGTTGGAGAGCATGGCCACGCAGGGCGGACGTCTGAGGCAGTAGACACCAGCCAAATTGTGGAGCCATGCATGTGCATTAACTCCACCCACACACAACTTGCCTACAAAGAATGCGCCACACCACCCCCAACCAGACCTAAGGCAAGGAGGCCTGATTAAATTATTCTATGTTCCCAATAATTGCCCATCACCCAGGTATCTATTTTACAGTGGTCATATTTTCTGAACTCAAAATTAAGACACAAGACATGACAATGAGATACAACATTTTTTTTTTTTTCCTTTTTTTTTGTCTTTTTTCGTGACCAGCAACGGATCGTAACCCTCAGTGTCGCGCCCATACCGGACCGGGACCGGCAATGGGATTGCAACCCTCGGTGTTGCGCCCGCACCTCGCTCAGCCAGTGAGCGGCTGGTCTGTACGTGGGATCCGAACCCTCGGCGGGAGCGCCGTCGCGCTCCCAAGCGGCGCACTGTAGCAGTGCACCACCGGGCCGGCCCCGAGATACAACATTTAAGTTTAGGACTGTCCTTGAAAATCTGGAACACATGTGTGTGCATATGTTTGTAGCATACACATTGTCATATTGTCTCCTAAATGTGTCTTTTCAGCCATTCTGTTGACTTGTTTCTTATCAATGTTGCTTATGTATTTAAATTTACTGTATCTTTATATGTAATATTTGGAGTATATATGTATATATTATATATATATATATATATATATAATATATACATATATACTCCAAATATTACATATAAAGATACAGTAAATTTAAATACATAAGCAACATTGATAAGAAACAAGTCAACAGAATGGCTGAAAAGACACATTTAGGAGACAATATGACAATGTGTATGCTACAGTTCCAAATATCAGAGAGAATCACAGAATTTATAATTTATGAATCTTTTTTAATGCTTCCATTATCAACATAAATAAGTTCAATTCAACATTTATTGAGTACCTTCCTACATAGTATAGAGAATGGGGAATACAGTAAAAGTGCTAACAGAAATGTACTTAATAAGCTTATAAGTATTCTCTCTTACTGCAGGCATTAAGTGCAGTTGGATCTTTGGCTTAAACATGTAGATATAATTAATTCTGATTCTAACCCAAGAAAATGCTCTTTTCTCTCACAAATGCAGAATAAGGTAAAAAACCAAAAAATAAAAGCCAACATAAAAGTACAGTAGTTTGCAAATGTGACAAATACTGAAATAGAGGGTTAAATTATATCAGAGACAACAAATTAATTTTTCAGGGCCAACTCTGACTGGCAGTGGCTGCCTGGAATGTTGTGTTGAGAAGTATTGAGAGACTGTGACCAGGTTTAATGAGAAAAGTACTGCAACTGATTAGCAACGCTGTCATAGGCATGGGCAGAGGATCACAGCACATTTATTTACAATCCCTAAATAGGAGACAAGGGCCAAAGTTCAATCTTTATCCATAAAATCCCGTACTTTCTCTCTACTAATGAATATAAAATATCTTAATAAGAGCACCAATCTTTTACCAAAATAAAAAAAACCTGTAAAATTTTTAAAGCACATTATTTTTATTCTAAATAGCTGATTTAGGGAATAAACAATATCCATAGAATTTAAAGGCACCAAAAAAAGACACTGATTTTCGCTTCAGCGATCTGCAACTTAGTCAAGTTAAAGACTCTCTCTTCCCCCGCCACCATTTCCGTTTATGTCACCTTAGTAACTTACATCAATTGAGGAACTTCTGCCAAAAGTACCCAGGGCCCATAGCATAAATCATTAGGTAATGGCAACATTCCAGAACTGTAGATGCCAAAAATTTACATCCTTTATTTGCCATTCCCTACAATGAGAAGTTTAATGACTGCAAATCACTCTAGCTCTGCTTTCGTGGTTCATGCAATCACCAAACTAGAATCCCAGCCAAAAAATCCAATGTTTCTCCTTTTTCTTTTTCCCTTCTATTTTTAGCACATGCCTGGGTGTGTTTAACTTTGTGCTACAATTGTAATGAGAAACAGACATATGCATACAAACTCAGCAGTGCTTATATGGATTCCACAATAGCATTTTGTTAGGTTGTTAGAGGAAATTAGTTCTAAATTACATATAATTGCTATCCAATCCAAAATGACAGTCACTGAGTCTATCATAAACTTCTTGATGTCTATAGATTACTTTAATCCATCTCTTTTAAAAAAAATCAATGCGGGAAAGAAAGATCAAAAGAATAAGTTGACATACCATGTGATGTAGCAATGTCACAGATTAAATTAATTTCATCCAATGGTAAGCTCCAAGAGGCACATTCTTCAGTGAAGTTTAGGGATCTTTCCTCACGTCTTTCTATTGGATACTCCTGTATGTTTATAAGTACTGGACCCTATAAACAAGTAGTTATCTAAGTTAAGAAATTTGGGTAATAAATTTTCTACCAAAATGTAGAAGAGCTAAAGTTCCTTAAAAACACAGATTTTAGATTCAAGTAATTCAATATCCTGATTTACCTCTTCTCATTTTATTGACCGGCATAGTACTTATAACAATAATACCATATATTTGCATTTATAAACGCTTACACATTTGCTATCTAATTTCTCACTTTTTCTTTTTACTTAAAAAATATACCAGATGTAAAATCCCACGGGATCTCATTACTTCATTCCTTCCTAAACCAAGAGCCAATTTTGAACTCCAAGTATCAGGAGAGCTCTCCAAACCAGGAGAATAATTTATAAATGAATGAGCCAGGGCCTGATATATTTTCATTCTGAAGAATGACTTTTATAGTACATAGAAATGTAATGGTTGAATCTGGGTCTTTTAAATGAAATGTAAAAAAAAATGTGGGGCCGGACCGGTGGCGCACTGCTACAGTGCGCCGCTTGAGAGCGCGGTGGCGCTCCCGCCGAGGGTTCGGATCCCACATACAGACCGGCTGCTTACTGGCTGAGCGAGGTGCGGGCGCAACACCGAGGGTTGCGATCCCGTTGCCAGTCCCGGTCCGGTATGGGCGCAACACTGAGGGTTGCGATCCGTTGCCGGTCACAAAAAAAGACAAAAAGGAAAAAAAAAAATGTGACATTTGAAATGAAAAAAACTCCCAAACTTACTGATAACTACTAGTGCTACTCATAAAAGGTAGAGTATTTCATACATGGCAATAATTATTCAATATAAACACAAGCAGAGGAACTAATTTAATAATGTTATGGATATTAATGCTAGGTAATTAAGGTAGGACTTCCTGGAAGAACTGTCTAGATGTAACTAAAATTTCAATAATCTGCATGCCCTACAGTCATTAATCAAAAACATTTGGGATAGATATTGGCATCCATGCCCTACCCCCACCATTTAGTCTGTTCTTGGGGGCTGGAAAACTAAAAACTTCATTCCTCACACTCCCTTGAGAAAGGATTCTGGAAGTGATTTAGATTCTGCAAATTAAATGAGATTTGGAAGGCAGAAGAGAGGTAGTGGCCATCTTCCTGCAGCAATAGCAGACAAGGAAGCTCTCACAAACATAAGCAATTAGATTCTATGTTCTACCACAGTGGTTGACAAACTATGGCCTGCAGGCCAAGTCTGACCCACTGCCTGTTTTGGTACATAAGATTTTAGTGCAACACAGCCACACCCATTTGTTTATGTATTGCCATGGCTGCTTTTGCACCATAACGGCAGAGTTGAGTAGTTGCAACAGAATCTGTATGGCCACAAAGTCTAAAATATTTACTATTTGGCCCTGTTCAGAAAAAGTTTGCTGACCCTGCTTTACTGTGCAGCCCTCCAGCAGCAGGGCTGGTAGCAGAAATGTGGACCTTGAAACTACCAGTCCAGGGTACCCCTCTGCCCCTCCCCCCAACTTCTGTTCCTCCTGCCCTTTATAATGATTTTACAAGCACTTAATTCCCCACAGTAAAACCCTTTATGCTTGAAATATCTAGAGTGATTTCTGTTGCAACTAGTGACTAATACTCCTTTCCTTTACCTTTTCATATGAAGATAGTGCCTATCATCAATATATAAATAGAGTCTGAAAATTCAAAAAGCACAAAGTTTTAATCCTTTTAGCAAACACGAAGTAAAGACAAATATCACAGAGTGACTGACCTAGGAAAATATGCAACATACCTGACTATCCTAAATTCATATTAGCTCTGAGAAATTCTATATGCCTTAGGAATTGCCTACATTGAGTCCCTCAGAGGCCAGGCTGATTTGAAGAACTATCTTAGCAGAAGCTAAAATAACATCAGATCAAGTCATTTCTGAGATTGTATGAATTTTCTCCAGGGAAGATACAAAAGCATTTGTAAGATTCATTATTTTAAAATGAAATAATAGAGATATCAACCTTTATATCTATATGATGAGTTTCTGCAGGACACAAGAGTTTTTGCATTCCATTTCTTGCCTGGCCAGTCGTCCAGTAGCCCATGAATGTCTGCTCTGGCAAAGGCAACCTGTCAAGGATGATTTGAAAATTAAACATTTTTTCTTGTTTTCAAGTCATAGGAAAAAATAATGAGCCATCTATTATCAACCACACAAATAAATCTGAAGAATGCTTTACTCAGAAGTGACTTATGCTTTATTTTATTAAAAGACAGTCTATACAATCATGTTCAGAATACACTTTAAAACAAAAAAGATTCCACATCTCAGAAACTCAAAAGGTAAGATCCTATTCCATTTTTACCTTAATGACAAATATAATTAAGGTTTGCATATTTTTCCCTTGAGTTGGTAATTTAATGTCTAAATTCCGGGTAGAGTATTGGAAGGCTTTTAAAAAGTTGGAGCAATCTATCAATTTTTTCAGTCCATTCTTTTAAATTTGGAATCAAATAACACATAGTACACAATACTATTAATCCCATGTTTGTAAGTTATATAGGGCAAGTTTCATAGACTTTATTTTGGCATCTTAATTTCTTTTCACTTTTAACTGAAATATAATATACATACAGAAATATTCACATAAAAGAAGTATCACTTAGGTGTGAACACACCTGTGTAACCAATACCCAAAGAAGAAGAGCATCGTCAACACCCAGAAGCCCCTCAAGGACCACTTTCAGTCACTACCATCCCAAAGGAGCTACTATCCTGATTTCTAATGGAATCATTCTGGTGATTAGATTCCCTTTTATTTAAAGCAACCTTTAAATAAAGTGATTTGCCAAACAAATATGGCCATGCTAAAGTATAAAACAGCAGACAAAAAATTTTTGAAAGACTTTACTTTTTAAACATATTATCTTTTTTTGAATCTTTAAAAAAAGAACCATTGATTTATCATTTAATGCATTAGAAATTTCTTATTCCATGATAAGTTAAAGCATAAAATGATTCAGTGTTAAAAGTACCCTAATATAATATACATGTGGCTACAAATTGAAATGCATGCTCGGAAGGAGTTTGATGAACATTAAAAGACTAAATATTTATATTTAGAAGTCATTTTATTTTCAGTAAAGGAGTAGTCTGACATAATATTTCCATATGTTCAATAAGATTATATACTATTAGACCTAAAGAAGGAAATAGACACCAATACTATAATAGCAGGGGACCTGAACACCCCACTGTCAATATTGGACAGATCATCTAGGCAAAGAATCAGCAGAGAAACACAAGATCTTAACAATACTCTAGACCAATTGGACTTGGCAGATATCTACAGAACATTCCATCCAACAACCTCAGAATATTCATTCTTCTCATCAGCACATGGATCATTCTCCAGGATAGACCACATATTAGGACACAAATCAAGTCTCAACAAATTAAAAAAAATGGAATTATCCCATGTATTTTCTCAGACCGCAATGGATTAAAACTAGAAATCAATAACAA